GGGGGGGGGGGGGGGGAGGGGTGGTTAAAGTGTTTCTATGGCAATCCCGTGTTTGGAATATTATCTGGTCACCTTATCTAAGTCTTATTATTAGCAACTTTCTTTGAAATTAAAAGACCCCCTCAAGATTCTTAGGTGCAACTGCTTACGTAGGTTTTGCCACCTTCTGCCTGAAGTATTCCTCTTTGGTTCACAAACAGGGGAACCATTTAAAAGTTTGCAAGGACTAACTCAGCAGTCCATCGTAACAACATTCAGCCATAGGATGCTAAGATGAGAAACTGACTTTTTCAAAGCTGCACATCTGGTCAGCTCAGCTGAAGGTAACCCTTACATAAATGATCAGAACCCTGATCATTTCTCTTAGCATTAAGGACAAAAATGCAGCAAGAACCATCTCCCTGGGGTTTGTCTCTCTACAAAATGTGTGAATTTTCTGACTCTCAAGAAGTGCAGACAGAAAGCAGGGTCGGCTAAGAGACATAGAAATCCCAGGTCACACTTAAGGGAGGTGATCCAGAGGATGAGGTGGTGCAGACTGTGTAATTTTGTCTTGAAAGGACACGTGCCTATTTCTCTTTTCTTTGAGAAAGCTGCTCCAGGTGGGTGGTGGAGTTCAAGGAGGAATGTGCTTGGGGCTAGGAGAAAGGGCTCTGGGCTGGGTCGCTAGCAAACTGGGATCCTATCCCTGGTGCTGCCCTGACCTGTGAAGTGTCTCATCCACACATGCTAGATCTTCGGAAAAACAAAACAAAACAAAAAAACCCTCCCAAAGCCCTCACCTTCCCAGGCCTCAATTTCATCATTTGTTAAAGGAAGACATTGAACAAGATAAAGGGTTTCTCACACGGGGTCCCTGGCTTTGGAGGCGGGTCCGTGAACCTCTTACCCCTGTTTGTAAGATTGTGCCTCTGTCTCATTTTGCATCAGTTGCTACAAATTCCTCGTAACTCAAAAAGGTTAAGAACCAATAGTAGTCCCACTCAACTCTGCCTTCCCAAGATTCTAAAACTCTGAGACAAACGTTTTTCTAGACTCGATGCTTTTCAACTTCCTCTTCAAGCAACACCGTTTACATTGAGATCAGTTTTCTTGCTTAGCTTCCTCCCAACCTCGGCCAGCTGCGGGATGGCCTTTCTCCCTGACTCCCAATCTCAGGCAGGGCGCACCGAATGGCAATCTGACTCCATGATCCTGCCCGCAACACTTTAATCACTTTAATTATAAGAACAGTTTCAGAATCCCAAATGGGTTCCAAAACAATCAGAAACTTTCTCCGCTCT